GTTCAGAAGGGCTGTGTCTGGTACATTCAGAAGGGCTGTGTCTGGTACATTCAGAAGGGCTGTGTCTGGTACATTCAGAAGGGCTGTGTCTGGTACATTCAGAAAGACTGTCAGATGCATTCAGAAAGTCTGTGTCAAGTACTTTCAGAATGACTGTGTCAGATGCCTTCATAATGACTGTGTCAGATACCGTCATAATGACAGTGTCAGATGCCGTCATAATGACTGTGTTAGATGCCTTCAGAATAACTGTGTCAGATGCCGTCATAATGACTGTGTCAGATGCCTTCATAATGACTGTGTCAGATGCCTTCAGAATAACTGTGTCAGACTCCGTCATAATGACTGTGTCAGATGCCTTCATAATGACTGTGTCAGATTCCGTCATAATGACTGTGTCAGGTACATTCAGAATGACTGTGTCAGATGCCTTCAGAATAACTGTGTCAGATGCCTTCAGAATAACTGTCAGGTACATTTTCAGTAGCTGTTCTAACCCAAATCACTGATCCTGGGCAAATCAGGATGTTTTCTCCTTTTGTTACTCTGACCCATTGAACACCATCTCTGGCTCCTGATCCCTTTCCCACCTCGAGGCCCCCGGTTCCAGAACCTGTGTCAGTATTGCATCCTGACCCTATAAGGTATTAGTCTCTGTCACACGGCTGCATTGCTGAATGGTCTGGTAGGATTCTCCTCATCCTCCTCCTTTCTTTGTGGCATGTGGAGAACCTCTCCAGATTGTATCATGTATCTTCTATTTTTTCACTTGCAACAACAATGATAATAATTATCATTATTTATTTCTCAAGCCCGGCAGCACAATTAGCAGTAAGCATCCTTTCAGCAGGTGAAGCTCTGCTGATAGAGGAAGTATCAGGGTCCTGCGCCTCAAACCGTCTCCTGCTCATTAGCCGCCCGGCCGCTAAGCTGAAACCAGGGATCGCCATGTGCTTACGCCACAAGCGAAGTCATTTGCTCGGGTTTTCCGTGGTCTTGCCTTTCTCAAGGAGCAGATAAGGCTGAGCTCTGGATGGGGGTGTTCCTCCACTCCGTCTCTTTGCAATTTTTAGAGTTTGAAATGTCAAGAAAGCCCAGGAGGATGCTCTAATTGCAGTGAGTCAGTCACACTGGCGGGCAACCTCAGTGTTCGGGCCCCGATTTAATATCAACTATCTAGCAAAACATAAACAAGTGCTTTTCACAGGTATGGCTCATGGTCACGTTTTCAGCTTGTGTTCTGTCAGATCACTGGGTTGACCCCGGCATCTACGTGTGCCGAAATATAACGTGTTCTGTTCATGAGCTCAACAACATGACCCGTGAGCGTACTCTCCCACTGCAGAGCTGGCCATGTTCATTTAGTGCTCAGAACTTTCTTACAAAATGGCCCTGTGCAGAGACCACATATTTGCATGGGCTTCCCGATATTTGCAATTCCCTCACTTGCAACAAGCAGTTACTACACTAAATATTAAATAAACAAATTTCTTATTTAAGAGATGTTGAAGCAGCATGTTATATTAACCAACTAGTGAGCTATGAGCTTCTGATTCTACAGGTCAGTTGCCTATTTAGTTTTTGAAACCTCTGAGAAGGGTGCAGTGGTACCTCTGACGCTGGGGATCAGCGCCGGTAATCAGGGGGTTGGTGGTTTGAATCCCGTCAGTACCAGGCGCGGTCCTTCTCTCTTGGGCCCTTGAGCAAGGCCCTTAACCAGCAGTTGCTTCATTCTGGGTATGATGTTAATCTACATCCAGCCCTGCCAGGAGGTAGGACTGCACAATTAATTGTAAAAAAAAAACTGTGATCTCAATTCACACCTCCATGTGATATCATTTCCAAATTACAACAGTTCTTCTGCATTGTATTACATCAGCTGGGACAAAACAAGTGCTCCTACTCTTTACCAGAGTCTCAAGCATCCCATAATTCTGCGTTCTCTTTAAATGGTGCCTTTCCAGCATACCAGGTACCGTACTTTTGTTACTTCAAGAAGGTACCAAAAGTACGGTACTTCAAGGTGGTTTTCCACTGGTGTAAAAACTGGTACAGGCGCCGAATGGTAGGAAAACAATTTTGTACTGAATTCGAAAAATGCCTGTATATTATAGGGCTGGTCAATGTGTGATATTAATGCCAGCATTGCATGTTGTGCACTTGCAATTCTTACATCACTAGATTAAGATCAGACTTTTTCTTACCTTCTTACCTTTAATTCTGTAGAGGCATTGTAGCGCAGGGAGTTTAATTTCCGCTAAAACATTTTTACACTCAGGAAAAAAAATGATCAGGTTTTGAAATTTCAATTATTATTCCTTTTCAAGATTATCTAGTATATGTTTGTTGTGTTTTCATTTGCAGTTTAGTGAGTGCAATAAATGTTTAAATATAAGAAAAAAAATTGTTACAGAGAATGGCAATCTCAATTATAAGCAAAAGAATTGCGATTCAATTTTTTTTCCAGAATCTTGCAGCCCTATAAGGAGGTCCTCCAACTTACAGGGAAATTTGGGGGTTGGTGGCAGGACTGGCACTCACACCACTGGGAATAATCTCATACTATTCCATTTGGACTGGTGTGGTGCTGAGGTATGGCTTGGCTTCTCATCCTGGAAGTAGTTTGTCATGCGGTGGTTGTGGCAGTGCGCTGTAATCACCGTGTGCTTGTTACCGCCGACAAGGGCCCCAAAAATATCAAACCGGCCCCTGCCTGCCGGGACCCTCCCAGACGATCATTGCTCAGCACTGATCACCATTCAGTGCTTGATGTGCTGCCGGACCGTTTCTCCCATAGGTTCACACATATGCACTTTTAAACATCAATTGTAATTTTTCCTTCCAGAAATCCATAATTTAGCATCGATAATATCATCCATTTCCATGTGTAATCGCACCTGACAATGACGTCTCACTGGAGAAATGAGAGTATGTTTAATTTGCAGCCGCTCCAGGATACGAGTCATTAATAATAGTTAAACTTTTCAATAATTGGTCTTCCATGGCACAGAGGCTGCTGTATCATAGCCTGCTAATTCCCCATTGCTACCATGGTTACATCCTGCTTTTCGTAGTACTAATCCAATTGGTTACACTCAAATACCTCAGAAAGGTACCTGCTAATCTCTGGGACAACGGTTACTGTATTTTTCTGATTGGCTGTCTGGGTCACATGGTACGGTCTGTGCACCATCACCCATTGTGGTTTGTGCCCCTGCCTGATGAAGACGCGACCTTCGATCAGGAGAGCTGTGAGAGGCACATATGAGAGTGTGAGTGCCCATGGATACTGCAGCCTTGCATTGAAGCCATCTATCCAAGAGCTACTGTTTCAGGTGACAGCAGCGCAACATTTACATTTTTTTTCCCAGACACTTTTATCCAAAGCAATTAAGAAGTCAAGATCAGCCAGACCCTAGAGCAATTGGGCATTAAGGGCCTTGTGCAAAATCATTCTGTTGACTATGGGATTTGAACTGGCGACCTTCTGATCACAGAGTCACACACCGACATGGCATCAGGAACAGATGCGTGTGACTTCCCTCCTCTCTTGTCCACTCATGGGGCCTCTGGTTCCTCCTCTGGTCTTCATATGTTCATGTAGGTCATGATCAGACCAAGCTGGTGAGCCTGGTGTGTGTGTGTGTGTGTGTGTGTGTGTGTGTGTGTGTGTGTGTGTTTCTAAGAAATGTGCCTCAATCCTTGTTGTTAATAAGTGGTAATTCCCTTAACTGTGTATGTTGAAGGTTAATTGCAGAAACGGTCTGGCCTGCAGCTGTTTGGGTTTCAAGAACCGACGTGTAAATAGAGCAGGAAAAAATAAAACTTTATGTTGTTACACTGCATAAAGAAATCAAGTCAACGGATAATGTTCCATCCATCCATCCATCCATCCATCCATCCATCTTCTAACCGATTATCCTGCTCAGGGTCACAGTGGCGCCTGGAGCCTTAATCTTTTTCCAAGATATAAATATTCCTGATTGAAAGACATTATTGTTGCATTATTATTTTATTGCCTGGCGGTCACCACTGTCACCGTGGCTCCCAGCCCCTCCTCCCGCGGTGGCAGCTCGTCCATTTCACGTCCGGGAAGGTGTGGTCCTCTCTCTGACTGATGTCTCTCCTGTGACAGGTGAATCAGGGAGGCATTATTGGTCTGGTCGAGGTTACGTGTTCTGCCTCGGAGGACGGTGGGATTTCATGGAGGCCGTGTGAGCGGCTGGCTGGGATTGATGGGCGTGGTCACATTTAATCAGAAACCTTTTAAGTGCAGTACAGCCGGAGCTGCTCACTAATTCTCTGCATAAATGATAAAGAATAAATTAGAAATAGTCTCCTGTCAGACTGATTGTTAAGCGCTACATAAATGGATAGGAAACGACTTAAAGATCTCAGTTCTCAGGGATGTACAGTACTGTGCAAAGGTTTTAGGCATCCAAAGGAAATGTTTAAAGCCATTTATCTGGGTAGCAAGTGTATATATCCTCAGAACAAAAACAATTTTGCATTAGAGCATTTGCAAACTAAGGGAAACGTAACAAAAACTACTAAGATTTTTTCTCTTCTGTGAAAGGTTACTGATATCTAGTTGGGTGGCTCTATGTACCCGCTACAGTTCCCAAACCTCTCCATGTGTTAAATTTCACCACCAGCTCACTTAATTAATTAATTTAATTAATTGAAAAAGTAAATGAAGTATTGATTAGCCATATGAGATGTGCCAGGGTTTGAATCAAGAGCTGTGTGGGTGTACTGGGTGTACTGGATGATCGCTGGAAGTCCTGGGGTGACTTTAGGAATGATTTCTAAATGACCATGCCGACACACTTTAACAGACATGATATCATATTTTTTCATCAACAATAAGATAATCTTCTTAGACTGCCTATGGTACGGCACATATTCCAATTTGTTCCCCTCCATGGTTCAGAAAAATCCAGACCACAGTAACAGACCGAGCTTCTGTGAGGTCTCAGAGGAGTCAGTTTGAGGTCCATATTAAAGACAGGAGTGGCAGGTCCACATTAAAACAGAATCTGAGGTCCTGATCCATTGTCCTGAACCTCAGCTTATTGCTTGAACTGCCTATACCCAGGTGACCCTGAACCCCCCCCTAAATGACCTCACCAACCCCCCACCCCTGCCCACAAACATGTTCTGTCCTCGCTGCTGGTCTCCAGCCCTAGAAATAATCACTTGAGACTGACAATATTATCACAGAGATAGAGAGATGGTAGTGGAACAGCTTGGTGAAATTGACTGTTACCTAGGATTCTCAATCCCAAGGCACCGAAGATGAATAAAGAGCATAGTGGCACAATCAATCCAAGCCGCGTTGTCCGTACCCCTGATTGACTTTACATTTTTGGTACTGATTCCCACTTCCAGGAAAATCAAACATTTGTAAGGCAGCACTGCCTGCTTTGGGCAGAATTGGCTTCAACACCATCCAGAAACACGCGCTCTGCTCATTCTCTCCTAACTGCTTCCCCTTTCAGCCCATCTTCATCACGGTGTCAGGTATCGTGGCTGACTCCGTACTGCCCCCCCACAAGAGAATGATAAGCGACCCGCATGCAGTAGATTATACTCACCCGCCCCCGCCCCCAAACCCAGAATGCGCTTCCAGAACATTCCGTCCAGCGGGGAACGTGGTCCCGTCGCTCTCCCGTCTGGGTCTGATTGAAATCGTTTATATCTCCACGATGATTCAGACACGCCAAAAGAGACAGGAGTGGGGGGGCGACTTGGAAGATTATGAATACCAGGCTCTGAAATCAGCACGATACCCACCCACCCCTCCACTCCGTTTGCCCTCACGATCAATGCAAATGAACAGCTACTTTAATTGGGGGCTGAAGTATTTTTTTAATGCCTGCTCTCTCTTGCCAGCAGATGAGTAACTGAGAAGGCAGTGCTGCATGATCAGGGGGGGGGCCCTGCTCCATCGCCGGGTGGGTCCTGCTCCCGAGCAAGGCGTGAGAAATACAGGGAGACCATTTACAGAGCCGTCCTGCTGCTTCCGGTCCAGAACAGCAGGGACACGTTGGCTAACAGGCACCCAGACAGGACGGGACAGGCCGTGGTTTTCACGAGCAGCTCTGGTTCCTCCCGTCCAGGGACGTGTGGACAAGGCCTGCACCTCTCCGACAGGCGTGTGATGGTGCACAAGGGCACCAAGGTCCTGTGCCCATTTTGTGGCCAAATGAGCCTCCTAGAGAAGGAGAGACAGACAGACACAGATGCCATTGGGGCGAGTTTTCTGTTATTGGGGCCCCATTGAAAATATCACTTTGCCCCCCCCCCCCCCCCACCCGCCAATAATGCTTTAAAGATTAAATAAAAGCTTAGCAAGCAGAGTCACAAGATCGTAGCTCACTAGCTGGTTAGCAGAACACACTGCTTCAGCATCTCCTAAATAAGGAGCGTGTTTATTTAATATTTGGTGCCGTGTCTGTTTGTGGCCAACAGAGGGCCCCCAAACCTCCGGGGCCCGATGTGTATGCATGATTCGAGTGATGGTTGAGCATGGGCCACCCCGCCCCTGAGGCCCAGCGATTACACATCCTGCCTGATGCTAAAACCACCCCCCCCTCGGCAACCCATCAAACCCCCGTCGGCATCGCCGTGAGTCCGCAGTGACGCCAGCGGCCTGATCAAAGGCTGCGGTATCAAAGCAGGCATGAGGTTTCTTAAACATTAAAGAACTGGGGGGGTGGGGGCGCGCGCTGACATCCATGCCCCCCATCTGATCCTCTGGCCTGCCGTTACCTGTCTGGATACCCCCCCCCCCCCCCCCCGCAGTCAGGATGGGGGCGGGGTCTTTCTTATGCCAGGCCAAAGGCCATCGCTGGAGTCTCGATCTTCACAAGCATTTAACCAGCAAAGCCAACACGGTCCTTACTAATAAATCACATTAACAATGCAGTTTTTTACAATATCATCTCGCTGGTTGTAAGAAAGCTTTATCCCCAGCTACAGACGCATTTCCTCAGCGGCCTTCCTGCAGAAAGAAGATTTTATCTGTTCTGCATAAGAAATGAGTCTATTAGAGAATTGCACATTATCCAGCTTAATAAGGAATTCAGCAGTTCAGCTGGTTTCGGGATTTCGAGTTCCTGGTGCTGCTCTTATACAGGATGGATTATTATTATTTTTCAATAAAAAAGAAAGACAGGAAAAATAAGCCTCTGACAGATCATTTTTATGTATGACCTTGATTTTTCAGGATGAAAGGAATTTACACGTGCTGCGTGACAACAGCTAAAGGAGCTCGCCGCTTGTTACCGAGGACCAATCACTGTGGGCTTCATTGTCAGATTACACATCCAGGTGGAGTATCATTCGCTACCCTGCCTGTAAGTCACACAGCGGGCGTGTGTCCTAGTGCTGTGCCTGCACGGGATTGGCTGTGTGGAGGAGAAGCAAGCAGCCCCCTTGGACACATCTGCATTCAGTCTGGCCCTGCTGTCCAAACTCTCCTCGACTTCATAAGAGCCGGTCAGGTTTGAAGTTCGACCCCATGCTTAGGGATGGAAATTGGCCGCTCGGTGCTGGCTGAGCCTCACCCCTGAGATGGGATCGTCACACGGACGGCCTGGCCGAGGAGACGCTGCAGTTAGTATGTGAGTCCCGAGAATCTTCCAGAAGTGTCGGAGCACTGTAACCACTTGTTCTATTCAGGGTTGCCGGCGCTACAAAGTTAGGAGTGCAGGGCGGGACACACCCTATTGCACGGCACTCACACACACACGCACACCTGTGGACGGACACACCCTATTGCACGACACTCTCACACACACACGCACGCCTGTGGACTGTGGGGGGATCCCCAGAACCTGGAGGAAACCCTACGATGACATGAGGAGGACATGCGAACTCCACACATGGAGCCATGGCGGAAACGCGAACTCCACTTCCAGAGGTGTGGGGCCACCACTGTGCTACCCCCACCTGTTATTCTGGTTTATATTTAACTATAAATTTCTCACGTATCATGTAACAAAGCTATAGACCAATGCTCAGTTTTTCAAACACAAATGTAATGGCTTGATGTTTACTGTAAAAGTATAATTATTATTAAAGGATCAAAGAGCTGAGGTGCTCCGGTTTCATGCTAATGATTTGCTAATCCTCAAATGTCCGTCATTCCACAAACAATGAGACCAAAGGCCCCCCTGATCCCCGGTGGGGGGGCGGGAAAGGTCATGTGCACAATGAAATATGGAGAAGGATCTGATTCCGGACATCTGTACTGGAAAGCCATGGAAATAGAGTGTGAGAGCGCCATTAATCATTTACAGCTGGCTCTGGTCTCCTCGGCGCTGATGTAAGTCATTCCCTCGCAAACACTCTGGCCTGTTTGTCTGCCGCCCCTCCACCGGCTCGTGTGTTTAATGGTGGATTTCAGGGAAGGCGTTTCACGGCTCCGGAGTCACGCACACTCTGACGTACTTGTTTAACCGTTTTAATTATTCACCGCCACCTCCCTTTGCGGCTTAGAACCTTTTGTGATTTATACGTTATTACACAATATGTTTCAGTTTACATTTACGTTCATGCATAATTCACAAGTCCTATGAGATAATTGAAAGTGTAAATGATTAGATCACACGCCGCTGAGATGATGTAACGTGTGTTATGTGTTGCCGTGGTTCTGAGAATGAGGCTACAGAGTTTGATCTTGCTGCCTGGGCATGTCAGAGTAAGGCTGCTTATCCTTGCCGGACTGATGAATGAATATGCTGTGTCTTTGGGCTGCCTTCCAGCGTTGGTCACAGGGCCACCCCCTTGGCTGTTGTGTAGCTGGCAAGCCGTCCAATGGGACACTGGTGTCACAAGGCATTTTGGGGGTCGAAGGGCAGGCTGTATCACATGCCGCTCCTGCCCTCACCCCGAACCATTAGAACTGTACTGTGTGTCCGTTCTGCTTAGCCGAAATACACGGGGATAGCGTGCCAAGCTAATGCAATCACGTCCCCTATGGGTCACCGCGTAGGTATTTAAGACCGGGCACAGAAAACAATCGCATCGCTGTCATGCCGCATTTCTGGGCCCATGTGTTTGAGCTGCCTGAGCCGTGCCCGTCAGCGGCCGGCCATTACCCACAATCCTCCAGCAGGAAGTGGAGGAGACCAAAATCCCGCTGCGTTACGTAACCCTGCATCACTCTGGAGAGAACAAGGTGAAACGTGAAGGTGTAAACAAAGTCAACTTAGGGAGAAGGAGAACACGGCAAGCGAGGATACCGTTACAGTGTGGTGGAGTGGGCGAACTCCAAGGGAGGTCCGGAAAGGAGATCCGGAAGGGAGACCCAGTACGATGTGCTGCTGGAAAAACAGCTGGCAATTCTTTCACATGTTGGAAAACACTTTCCATCCCAAAACGTTTCCCAAAAGCACAGGAATACTTGATCTAGGGGGAGATTTTTACTTTTAAAGTAAAGTTTGCTAAAGAGAACATTCCGGAAAACCTAGAAAAGCTGATTTAGCCAAACCAAAATTACCCACTACCACCCACACCTTTATAGTGCTTTATCTTTGCCTGTGATTACATGCAAAAACAAATTTAATCCAAAACGTGATCTTGGCTTAGCGTGAGAATTTAATCCCTTAAAAGCTGAAAATATTTCTTTTTTTTAAAGGAAGACACATAATTCTACCTCCTGCTGCCGTTCCAAGGAAATGTATCTTCCCCATTCACACATCCTAGATTATGTGCCATGCATACAAGAGGAATGACTGTGACCTCAAAGCAAATGTCATCCCAGAGTGTGAAAGGTTGCATTTGGAAGCGGACGCAGAAGCGAAATCGCATTTAGTGCGGCCGGGATGAGGTTCTGTGGTGTATTTCCTCGCATAAACACTTTAATATTTTTCCGGCTTGTTCCCGGTCTCACTGTCCTGCCGGATGTCACGGCCCATGGCGTACGCAAACGTGGCGCAGGGCCACCGTCAGACCTAGGGGAGGCGATGCAGACTTTGAGTTTATGCATGTCCTTCTGTTTAGCCGCTAAAGCTAATACAGCCTGTATTCGCCGGAGTCAATACAATTGATAAAACGAACTTGACTCGCAGAAAACCAGCTCTCCGCTTGAGGCTGCGGGCACGTTCCAGCTGGCATTGAACCCTGAACCAGTTAACAGTCCACGCATGGAGAGATAGAGAGAGCTTTTTTTTCCATTACTCTCTCAGGGCACAAAATCACAGGTATATAACACGAGAGCACGCCAAGGACGCCGCTACGATCGTAAATCGATCTGCAGATGGAGAAAGAGAAAGCACTGCCGCTCAGAGACCAAAGTAAATTCAAACCACGCTCTGCAATATGGCCACGTATCTGAGAGGGGATTTTTCACGTGCTGCGGCTGCGTTCGGGGGCGAGGGGGCTCTTCGGCACGCCGGGGGGACGGCGCCTTGTAAATGACCACCCAGTGGGTAACGGGGTCTGTCACTAAAATGCATTTTCAAAAGACTCTGAGTCATATATAAGAGCAGATGAGCAGGCTCTGTGAATTCCTTCGCCTTTCTAAGGCCAGGTGCTTAGGGGGTGTGAGTGTTTTTTTTGTATGTCAAATTTAAATTAATAATTAAATTTTAATTAATAAAAAAGTGGGTAAGACCACAACGTAACAAAACACGGTCGGCCAAAAGCTCTACCTGCCGCTTTCTACCTGGGCGGCAAGCAGTGGTGAGCGCGTACAGGTCAAGCATGTGCCACAGAAATATTGCGCCCTTTTCTGCCCTGAGCCAGCAGGGCGGCGCTGTGGGGGTATAGAGATACCCCAGCAGACCTTTTGAACCTCTTGTCCACGTGCTGAGTGAACGTTGGCAGGATACACATTTAATAAATCTCCCCCGTACATACTGGGGTGGCAAAGGCGGTGCTAGTCAACCAGTGGCAAGGCCGTCGGTTCAGATACCGGGGTACAGATGTACTCCTCGCTGTGCTGCCAGTTTGCCCCCGTTGAGGGCAATTGAGCCTTCATGATCCACTTACTCTGAAGGGCCCTGTAACCAGGGCAACTTAGTTGAGGGAAATACTGAATGGAGAGGTGTGTGTCTTTAAAGGGTCTCACTGGTCAAACAGTGAAGCTTTTCAAGCGACGACAATGAGCCGCATAAACGAGGACGGTCCTCCGGCTCGACGCTCCGTCCGTGAGCCTGCAGCTGACAGGCTAAATAATGCAAGCTACTGCTTTGTGTCTGTGATGCATTATTGAGACGGCTCTGGCACACGAGTTCTGCGGAGGGGGGGGCGTGTGTGTGTATGTGTGTGTGTGGGGGGGGGCGGTGGTTCCGAAATCCAGCTGAAAACAAGGGGAGTGAGCACAGGTGTGCTTTTGTGTGTGTGCGTTGGGGGTGGGGGTGGGGGGGTGTGCCTTCAATGCAAACATGTAGGTCTGTAAACAATGAGACCCCCGGAGATTGGAAGCACAGCTGGTACAACATAACCAACCAGTTAACCAGCCCGTCAGTGCATCTCAGTGCAGAAACACCTGCCTCTCTATTCAGCATGACACAGGAGAAGAGCGCCAGCATATGTATTCTGACAGGACGAGGAATCACACTTCCTGACGGAACATGACATTTACAGCTGTGGTCCAACCCTTTATGAACTGGATGGGGGTGTTTTAGTGACCATTCCAGAGGAAAAGGGTCTTCATTTGCTTAGGAAAATCCAATTTAAATTAGCAGTATGACGTATGGTGTGTTCAGACCTCGCTTAAGGTGGAGGTTTCAGAGGACTTCAGACCTTGGTTCGGTAAAGGTGGTGCTTTCTGTTGTCTTCAGACCCGTTTAAATAGATAGTAGGAATTCATATTATAATTTCAATATCGGAGCTCGCTGAGAACTTTTTAAAATAATACCACGCCGTAGCGTAATTAAAAAAATGTAAAATCCATGAAGGGTCGCTGTTTCTTAGTCCTAATTGTGCTTTTTTATCTCACCTTCCCACCGGCACCTTATCGTGGACTTTAGGACAGTCAGTCATTAGACACTTAACACGCGGCACTTCCTGCGTGCCGGAGATAGGGGGTATCTGAGTGGGTGTCTCAGCTGTGGCGGCCGCACTGTCATTATGCAATCAGCCGGGGAAATGTGAAATGCAAAATCTGACCTTCAGGAGGGGAATCCGCAGCTCCAAGTAAAGCTAATATTAAAACTCGGACTGGTGGGCGTAAGATAAATTTTAGCCTTTAAAACAAATGATTTTGGTGAAGGAGTGGGCTTTGGAATGGCCTTGGCGGAGGGGGAAGGGGAGGGCAGGCAGCTGTTTAGTTTCCGGACAGAGTAACTGTTTCACAGGACTATCCATCATACTTGCATATTAACTCCCAGTATTGTTTACTATGCTGCGTGTTTGACTGCTGTGACCTCCTCCGTAAGAGGAGGACCACAGACACAATCTCATTTCGTCGAAGACATTGACTCACACACTTAAGTCAAAGTTTCAAACATCTCAAAGCCTCCCAAGGCAGGCCCCGCCGGCCACAGATGTCCCTGCCCAACCTCTCGGCACTTTCCTTTCCGTTTGGGCCCCGATCGAGGATCCTTACTAAGTGTCTTGGGGACAGATCCAGGTGTCTGGGTACCCCTCTCCCCGATGCCGAGTCAGCCCGACAAGGCTGAAATCGCTCTGAACTCAATTTAGCAAAGGGATGGAGAAACGCCAGTTTATCCGTGGCCAGGTTAGAGAGAGGATTGAAATGGCACTCGAGCACAAAGATCAGCAGCAGCGGCGGCCGGATTAGCAGAGCGTGGAGCGCCGCGGCGTGTTTAAGGTGGGACTGCTTTAGGATGCTCCCTCCTGGTGTCATTGGGTCGTGCTTAGTGGGAAGATCAGGGTAAGCATACACACATGCGATGCCCCCCCACGCAGATTCTCTTGTAGTGCCGCCGCTAGGGCGTGGTTACTTCACAAGGGACTCTTAAGGGGGCATCGCGGGGGACGTTTCGCAGGAACGTGTCGCTCGCAGGCTGCTTTAACTTCCCACGGCTTGGGATTGATCTTTCCACAGCGTCATCCAGAGCAGAGCGCGGGTGTAACGGCCCTCGGGAAGCTACGCAGGGCGTAAAACGGGGATTTTATACATTTCCTAGCCAGCATTTTTTGTGGAGATGTCTTGTGAAAATACTACTTTTAGGAAACATCTTCAATGTACAGGGCCAGCGAGCACGTTTAGCCTCGGGTACAGCAATCAGGTAAAGCAGAATCAATGCGAGAACAATAGAAAAGCATCCTGCTCTTTTGGATGACTGACACTCTCCACAAATGACATGCTTTATACACCCTGTTTTTAGTGCTTCTTTAACCTATCATCATATTCGCGGTGACTGACAGAAAGCTGAACTGCTTACTGTTACATTTCATTTATTTACAGACACGTTTATCCTTTTATGGTCTTGCAAGATGGAAATAAATGAGTGATCTCCCGGCCGGGATCCCGGTGGATCCCAGGTGGCATGTGGATTCCTAGGGATCCGCAGCGGTCCTTTCTGGTGTCACGTGGTGCTTGCAGGACCACCTGCGGAGTATAATAATGCGGGGCCATTTGAGCGTGAACTCGGCGTGGGGTGATGCAGGAGTTTGCCTGTGTGTTTTGACGGAGGACGGCTCCTGGGGCTCTTACTGCAGTGTCAGGATGAAGTGGATTTACTAGTCATTAGCAGAGTCCTGTTAGCCCTGTCAGCTAACAAGACAAACCTCAGCCTTAATGACCCACACTTATGCCTGACATATCTCCTGTGTCCGGGTACGGTGGTCCTTGTCTGCGCCCACTGGCTCTGCCTATCTAGGATTGTTTACCTGACCTGTGCCACTTTATAGACTGGCATAATTTATCGACAGGTTCCTGTCCTGCTGCGGAGGGTGTGTGAGCAGGAACTGCTCCTGTTCCCCCCTGAAGCAGAAGGACAGTTACGTTCACCTACACTGAGTAAAACAATGTGTAATACAGATATTAGCATGAATGAGGTCAGCCTGTGCCTTGGGTGCTGCTTGCTTCTTCCAGGGGACTCTTCCTGACTGCAGAGACGCGCAAAGCCAGTCGCTCCTGCCCCCATTGATTGATCCCCAGACGTCTGGTGGGTAACACGATCCCACCGGGGCTTTTAATTAGGAATGCGGTGTGCCCCAGCAAGAGGGCATATCCCGTGTGGGGGTCCTGTCGTGCGGCGTCACCCTGGGGAAACAGGCGGTGTCAGTTTGGGGCGGTTCTACAGTACGAACAGTAATGAGCAAATCCACAGGGGCTTCGGATCACTGCTGCTCCAGCTCCTCCTCTGATTGGCCAGTCGTCCCGCCACTCAAGTCTCCCGAGCGATGAAAGTCGATCAAAAGTGACTCTGCAGAATGTAATCAGTTAATGGCGATTACTATCCTATAATGTCCCTCTTTTTCATCGCTAAATATAATTGGCAGCTGGTCAGTTTCGGTGCTTTCCTCTCGGAGTATTTATTAAAAACGTGCCACCGTTATTCATTTTAATTAACCCGAGCATTATCACTTCTTCTTGGGTTTATTCTTATTATTGAATTTTTTCCTGGAAAGGGGCTTGCAGGAGATCAGCGAGCCCTTTGTTCTGCCTGAATAGGGTGGTCAGGGCTTTCAGGCAGATTACAGTCCCAAAGTGCCTTTTCGTGCCCCCCCCCCC